CAATGGAGTAGTGGTGATAAATATTGAGGATTATGACATGGTTAAATACTGTGGTAATCGAGGCCATTAAGCACCTTGAACACTTCTATTCATTGGCTGCTTTTCTAAAGTGAACTATTGAGCATTTTTAATTTTTTCCAAGTAAACTCAAGGAAATGAGTTTATAAGGTTTAATAAATAAAACCTGTAAAATGTCAGCATTAAAATGTGTTGTGTTTTCTGAATTATGTAACTGGATGTTTTGTATCTTTCTCTTAAGTCAGCCTACCTGCTCTTCTTCACTGCTCCCTTCAGTGGATGTAAACCTGAAAATAGGAAGAAAAGGCAATGTTGCTATCTGCTATTAATGGACTGTGGCTACGAAATTCAGGAATTTCTGCATTTGTCATTTTGGGTCCTAATTTTAGAAATCAAAAAAGTTAGGGGACTGAAATTTATAAGGCATCTGTGACCAGTAAATTGAAATGAATTTTGGGGAATTTTTAGGGTACCCATCAAGGGAAATTAAACACATTTGTGCTTGTATATAAAGAAAAAAATAATGAAAAATACATTGGGCAGAGTCCTACTGCCATAATTCTACAAGGAGTCTGCAAAGATGCATCAGGATGTACATATCATTTGTGTACATTTGCAGTAGCACCCATCCCAAGAGCAGCTGCCTGGGTCACTTCTACCTGGCTGTGGGTCCATCCCCAGCCTGTCTCTGCTGCACAGAGGTGGCCACTGAGCTTCCGTCCTGGAGCACTCAAATTCCAAGATGTCTACAAGGCAACATAGCAGCTGTTCTTTATCTCAGCACTCAGGGAAAGTTTCCTTCCTTGCAGGGTATCTTTCTGTCTCTTGACATCCTGCTTCCAGCCAGTTTGACGCCTTCTTGCACTTGGACCTTCTTGCCTTCTGTGCCTCAGTCACAAATTACCACTGTGCTACAGTTGCAATTAGAATTTCCCCTGCACAAACAGCCAGTTATCTGTCACGTCACAGTAAATAGATTTGAAATAGTCACCTAGTAGAACAGAAAGAGGAAAGGAAAAAGGAAAGGAAGAAGAAAGTAAGTTCTCCAGGTTTCTGGTTGCCTTTTGCTGGGAAGCTGCTTGGAGCAGTGCCTCAAAATGAGGCACAGGAACATGCCATACAGATGTGGTCAGGTCTTCACTGACTGTATGAGCAGCATAAATTTTGCTCACATTAGTGGTAACAGCTGTACTTCACATCATCCCTTGTCATCGTGCGACTGTGGTAGGATCTGTTGAGCTGGAGGCCTAATTTCCAGTATCTGCTGTTGCTGTTTCCATGAGATGGTGGAGACATCACTTACAGGATACGATGTGTTCACAATTCAGATCTCTTCTTGCAGATTTTGTATGCTTGTTTTCTTTCTCAAAAGAACAAAACACAGAAACTGAAGTGTTAACAGGATTGGATTCATTATTGATATATCTCAAGGCCTGGTTGGATGAGGCTTTGAGCAACCTGGTCTAGTGGAAGTTATCCCTGCCCATGGCAAGGGATTAGAATGAGATGAGCTTTAAGGTCCCTTTCAGCCCAAACAATTCTGTGATTCTGTGATCTGCAATGTTCAGGTCAATGTCGATTTAAGTTGGTCTAGAGCTGTATTTTAGAATCACAGAATCACAGAATATGCTGAGTTGAAAGGGACCCACTAGGGTCATTGAGTCCAACTCCTGGCCCTGCACAGGACCATCCCAAAGAGTCACGCCCTGTGCCTGAGCGTATCATGCAAACACTTTTTGAGTTCTGTCAGCCTTGGTGCTGTGACCAGTGCCCTGGGGAACTTGTTCCAGCACCCAACCACCCTCTGGGTGTAGAACTTTTCTCTAAGCTCCAACCTATACCTTCCTTGACACAATTTCAGGCCATTCCCTCAGGTCCTGTCGTTGGTCACCACAGAGAAGAGATCAGTGCCTGCCCCTCCTCTTCGTCTCACAAGGAAGCTGTAACTGCAATGAGTTCTCCCCTCAGTCTCCTTTTCTCCAGCTGAACAGACCAAGTGCCCTCAGCCGCTCCTCATACGGCTTCCCCTCAAGGCACTTCACCATCTTCATTGCCCTCCTTTGGACTTAATGGCTTAATATCTTTCTTATATTGTGGTGCCCAAGACTGCCACAATATTTCAGGTGAGGCCACTTCAGGTCAGAGCAGAGTGGGACAATCCCCTCCCTTGCCTGGCTGGCGATGCTTTGTCTGATGCCCCCCAGGACACGGTTGGCCCTCCTGGCTGCCAGGGCACTGCTGACTCATGGCCAATTTGCCATCAACCAGGACTCTCAGGTCCTTTTCCCGGCACTGCTTTCCAGCCTCTCATTCCCCAGTCTGTCCGTACATCCAGGGTTGCCCCATCCCAGGTGCAGAATCTGGCACTTTCCCTTGTTGAACTTGATATGGTTGGTGATTGCCCAGTCCTCTGATTTGTCAAGGTCTCTCTGCAGGGCCTCTCTGCCTTGGAGGGAGTCAACAGCTCCTCCCAGTTTTGTGTCATCTGCAAACTTGCTCAGTGTCCCTTCCAGTTCTGAACATGTTGATGAACATTATGAAGATGTTGAAGAGCACAGGTGGAGCCCTGTGGAACCCCACTAGCGACAGGTCGCCAGTCTGATGTTGCCTCATTCACTATTACCTTTTGTGCTCGACCCATGAGCCAATTGGTCCCCCATCACATGATGCGTTTATCCAGCTGTGGGCTGGACAGTTTGTTCAGAAGAATCCTGTGAGAGATAGTATCGAAAGCTTTACTGAAATCCAAAAAAATTACATTGACTGGCTTCCTTTGATCAACCAGGACATGCAGGAGGGGTTTTATGCAGCACTGAGGCAGCATTTGGCAATGGGAAAGTCAGAGTTAATTGTGCAGCTGACATCTAGAGTCCACATTTGGGATAAGTGACATATTCCTCCTGTATCAAAACCCAACATTTTTTGAAAAGCAGTTTTTTTCCATATGACACCTGTTGAGACGGCCAAAGCAACACAGAAACAGTCTTCTTCCAAAAATAGGACAGGAGAGGGATAGATCCTTTATTGTAACAAGTCACTGATGTTTATAGCCCTTGGCATAGCATACATGTTACACTACAATTGGTGTCTTCAAATAAACATGCGTCAGGATTGGCTGCCCTGTAGCACGATGATTCAGCAGTTGTAGACTCATAGTGACTAAGCTCTAGCAAGCTCATTGTGATTTTGCAAAAAGTTCACGATATCTGCTTTTATAGTCCTGTCTTCCTTCTGACAGACCTGCTGTCAACCCCAACAGACACCCAAAGAAGGTTATAAATTCAGTAACCTGCTTTCTTTTTTCCCTTTCCCAATAAAAGGGGAAAAAAACTACTGTGTATTGTCCCCTCTCCTGTTCTCTCCCCTGTGTTTGCTGGCTGGGGCTGACAACCTAAAGTATGTCTGGGAGTGTGCTTGGGACAGGAAGGGTGGCTCAAATTGCTTCAGACAGCCCAGGGAATCTGAGGTGCTAGAACTGAGTTTAAATACCTGTATATCCAAGAATCATGTAATCTCCAATGTCGTAATCTGGGCATGTCAGGAAGTGATACTGTCATTGTCTTCCTCTGATGTTAATTAATAAAACTGAGTTGTCCAAGGTTGATCAGGAAAACAGCAGCTGCTCAAGGAGTTCAATTCAGGTCTAAATTAAGTTCTGAGTCCTTAGTTATAGGGCTGTGTTTGTTTATAGGGAATCTCATGGACTCATCCAGGTTGCTGTAAGGATCTCCGGGGAATACACAAATAGCAACATAGGAACCTTTAGGGGCTATCTAGTCTATCCTTCCTGCAATGAGAAGGAACACACCTTTCAGTAGACCAGGCTTCTCAAAGCCCTATCCAGCCTGGACTTGAACACTTGCAGGGGTGAAGTGTCCATCACCTCCCTGGGCAACCTGTGCCAGTGTTTTACCACCCTCACTGTAAAATACATCATCCTTATATCTAATCTGAATTGATCCTCTTTTAGTTTAGAACCATTACCTCTAAACAAACAGTTATAAATCAATATTGCTGTTTCTGTCATTGATGAGGACTGTGATGTGAGATTTCCTTTGTAGTCTGGCAAAGAGGGAACAAAAATTAGTAAATCTGCTTATTTTCATGAGGTGAGGTCAGTGACAACTTTGGTGAAATTGTTCTGAGCTGTGTTGTTGAAACAGTCCTGGAAGCTGATGCAGACACTGACATGCACAGTAACTGTGGATATATACCAAAAAAGTGGATAGCTGAGGTTCCAACTAACCCATTTAGCCAGCCATAAACTGTGAAAACAGAGACCAGAACTTCTCCCCGCAGTTTATATCTAAAAATGAAATTTCAGACTCAAGCCAGTTTTTTCAAAAGCGGCTGTGCTGGAGTGGGGAAGCCAGGCAGTGTATAGGACCCCCACTGGTTGGTTGGAGGGTCAGGACTTCTGAGTAGACTTCTAAAGCTTTAATCATAAGAAGCAGCTCTAAGGAAGGGTGAGTGGCAGGAGGCAAGTTTTCTACTGGGACACAGAGGGCTCTTCTGGATTAGCAAAAGGTGCATGTTCCCCAGCATGGGCTTGCAGCTGCAGGAGGGAAGCATTTTGGCTTTAGCTTCCTTTTTCCTTTGTAATAATCCTTTACCACTGTGCACAGGTTTTAGCTGTCACTGCTGCTGGTTCCTGCCCCTGGTCCTGGTGCTGCCATTGATTGTTGCTGCTGTTGACACTCACATGCCCTTTGATGAAGTGGCTTTCACAGCCCCCATCTCTCTGCACGGACCTGCTCTTATCTGAGACGTTCATTACTGTTGTTTGCCAAAAAGGTTTATGTAACAGATGTTGCAAAGCAAAGGCAGAGAAGCACACACACACACTCACACCCCCTTATGGCAGAGGCTGTCAGAGTGACGGTGAAGGGAGGATGGTCCACAGGACTGGAGTAGCTCAGAGGCACAGCTGCATCTGTTCAAAAAGCAACTAACGCCTCTCTGTGATTATGCTTTATTTTCAGCTTGTCATCATGGCTGGGACTGTTCTGCTCACCTACTACTTTGAGTACACCGACACTTTTCAGGTGCATATCCAAGGTTTCTTTTGTCAGGATGGCAGTTTGATGAAACCCTACCCTGGGACAGAAGATGAGAGCTTCATTTCACCTCTTGTGCTGTACTGTGTGCTGGCTTCAACTCCGACAGCTATTGTGAGTATAAGGAATTATTTGAATTCTCCATGAACCCTTTCATAAATAATAGCAATAGTCCTGTGATATCTTTGTCCCCTGTCCTCTCTATTCAGCTGTAATTAATTCACACTTAGCCAGAGCTCTGTTTTGCCTCAGCCTAATATGATCTTCATCAGTTATCTCCAGAAGTAATTATTCTGAGCTAATCACAATGCAAGAGCAAGGGGTAGAGCTTGTTAAGCCTTGTACAATAGCTTGCTCACTTCAGTGCTTAGTTGTGAATTGCCAGGGCTCCAGAGAGGCTCTAATGCAAAATTTATGCATTACTGGAAATAAGAAAACAGGATAAAGCTGAAGTAAAACCCAGGTCAGACATGCAGTATATCCAGGATTATTTCCTGCTATATTAAAAGGACTGTTGAAGGGCTTTAAAAGGCTTGGATGAGCAAAAAGATGCTAAATACATGAATGCTATTTCCTTTTTATTTATAATCTCTTTATTTTTAGCAGTCACATCCACTAAACCTTTTTTTAGCCTGGTTTTCTTTACTATCCAACCAGTAAGCTGCAATGTAGCTGTTCTGTGCAGATGAAAATACTCAATTAGCTGAGTACATACAATTCCAAACAAATTATTGCAGTCAAGTGGTTAGCAAAACTTTGGCCCTCTTCTATTTTCTGTGCAGGTTGCAAATTTCACCAATTTTTTTTGCTGCATTTGTAATGACACTCATAAATTCCTATCAGACTCTATGGACTTTGTTTTATTTCTTTCCTTTTATTTCTTTCCTTTTAGTATTTCTTCCTGATATTATTTTGCTTTTCATCCCCTTCAAAAGTTGATTGAAGCTGTACATGGCATATTTGCTTGTGAATGGTGAGTGCTTCACCACAGTCCATTTTAAGTTTTGTTCTGTAGTAATTTTAGTGCATGAAACCGTATTCTTGTCACATAATGTGGTAAAAAGTGTGAAAGGGATCTGCAGAAGAGCCTATAGTTTTTGGTACAGGACACTTCTTGAAAGCAAGTAGGAGTTTTGAAATGGATTACATCAAGAGTTTATGAAAATCCTCATTTTGAGGATTTACTTTGATTTTACTTTGGGCTACAGTGATAAATGATTTGCAAGTGAAAAAAATAAATACTACATTTCTCCAGCTCCCCCATAAACATAGTGCCATTGTTTAGGGACTTAGCTTTCACAGGCATTTTCCGGAAGGGTAGATGGTGTGTCACTATCATGCCTTCATTCTGTAACAATGGTATTAGTTTGTCCCTTGATTAACTGATTAACTGGCATTGGGGGTAATGAATGTTGTTCTTTATTTGGATCTTCTGTTTAAATTCTTTCTCTGGCCAAGTTTCATGCTAGCCCTTCAGGTTTTGCTCTACTGGATCAGCATTTTCTTTCTTTTTAGTGACCCAAGAAGTTTTTCCTAATTACTCTTCTTTATGAAAAGCTGAGTTGGAGTCTTGACTTGGCAGTACTGGGTTAACAGTTGGACTTGATGGTCTTGAAGACCTTTGCCAACCTAAACAGTTCTATGATTCTATCAACAGTACTGTTTATGTAGTTTCTGTAGCCCATATTAAAGACAAAAAATGTAGCGAACATCAAATAAACTTTTTGGGTGCTGAAGAGACCTTCAGCTTAGTGCTGTGTGGAGCTGGACTGTGTGAACTGTCTCATAAAATGCAAACTGTCCAGAAACACTATCCTGGATGGATGGATTCAATGCTGGGTATAGGCTGGTAAGCTCTGCTTCTTGGGTTGTGCTGTGCTGTTGCACTGGTAGTGCTTCAGCTAGAGAGGACATGGTCAGGGTCAGCACATGGCTCTTGGCACTGTGCTTTGTGGTGATCTCTGCACACAACCTCAAGGAGACAGCAGATCAAACTTTCCTGGGAAAACATTTTTTATTTCCATTTTTAGTGTAATATGTACTAATACATTATTCAATCAATTTTTTGTATTATTTGTATCATTGTATCGTATTATTAATACATAATGTAATTATTTAATGTCATTACTTTTGGGCTAATCTTCAACCAGAGCATATGTCAGAGGGATTTTTTTTGTCCTCCTGACTGGTACTTATGGCAATAGAAGTAACTTCACTTTATTCCTCATTCCCATCTTCTTCTGAGAGACATTGCTCTCCTTGCAGGGTGATTTCAGACCTCTGCTTCAGCTTGTAGCTGACTCTGCAGACTGAGTTTTGGCAATGATCATTAATAAAAAGCTTATAAATGAGACAGAAGGTGAGCTCAGATTCTCCCTAAACTCTGTCCTTTTATTACCCTGCTGGTTAGTCCATTCAGAGTGTGAGTATCCTCAGCTGTCCTTCTATACCCAGATGGGTGCTGCCTGTCATTCAGGCTGCCCACAGTCTGGGGAGAGATGTTTGATCCAGTTGAGTCTCCCAGGAATTTCAGTGAAAGGAGCAAATGGAGCCATTTCTGTGAGAATTACACTCTCCCAAAAAAAGCTTCCAAAAAAACTCCACACAAACAAAAGAACCCACACAGCTGTGCTTCATGGGAGGGAGCCTTGTGTACATTCACTGTGGATTAAGTTGTAGCTTCACTCCCTACATTCTGCAGCTCCACCATGAGGACATGATTTAAGTCAAAGGCAATGCCAGTTCCTCCTTAAAATTACTTGTTTCTTCTCTGCACAACACTTTTTGCTTCATTTTCTGATGGCAAGCCAGTTGGTTTGGCTGGGAGGATTTGCAGTAGCAAACCTGATCTCTCTGTGTTGCCTTCATGTTACCACTGTCCTGACATCTCGTGATTCCAACAGTTTATTGGATTCCACCCATTCCAGTTTACTGTTGGAATGGGTGGAACCAGCAGCAAGGAGGTACTAGCTCATGGTACCAGCTAAAACTGGAGAAGATATCCTAGGAGTTTGTACAAGCTCCCTCATCTGAGGCACACGGAGTGTTTAAGTGGAGTCCTGTGTGCACAGCTCTAGGGAAGACTCAAGCAATGATTTTCAACATAGCTGTGAGGTGTTATAATGATTGCAAGCCAAAAGGGAACATCTTTGTGAACTTAATGGAATATCTCCGTGTCTCTGTCATTTGGCTGTGACAGTGTGCATGAGGAAAATGATTGCATGTCTTTTATTTCTGACAGCACTTTTCAGAAGTGCTTCTGTAGGTTGCTACTACTGTATGTGCATTTCCCTGCACTTCTAGTGGCAAAATAAATGAGACTGGCCTGGTTTTGTGCAGTTTTATTCATTGTTTTTGAAACACTGCCCTAAAAATATTCTGGGATGGCTCTACCACATTCATTAGTGTCCCTCAAGACTAGTTTTCCCTGCTAAGAGGTTACTGTAAAGCAGCCAATTCCCCAGTTGGTACTAAACAATCCTTACAGAGTTCAGCACTATGCCTACTGTGTTCTATCCAGTGTGATTTGTCTGCCCACCTGAGAGAAGCAGAGAGGCTTGGGAACAGAACCATCTCACTGAAATGAACACTGAACAGCAGCAGGAAGCTTCAAGGGCACTGTTCTTTGTTACCTGAAAGTGGAATAGTAAGTGCCACTACTGTTTTCATGCAATCTTCAGTTTCTTTCCTTTGGTTGGAAGCGGCAGCCTACATGTAATCATTAACTGACCAGTGCTGTTAATTTGTGCAAAGGATTATTTGTTTTCAGATAATGCTGGCATCAGTCAAATTGAACCAGTCTGATTATTAATTAGAAGCTGAATTACAGTGGTGATCTGAAGCAGGAGGAAATTGTTCAAACTTCCCTTTCTATAATCTGCACATACTATTAAAGCTTTGAAAATATCATTCTTCTAAATGGTTTTCCTATTCTGTCTTGATTCCTTGGCTTTGATTTACTATAGCCGTGTTACTACAGTGATTTATTTCTGTAAGGGAAGCCAGGGAATTGCTGCCTGTCTTGGCTGATTCCCCTGTGGCTGCTCTGCAGCAGATGCCAGAAAAACCAAGAGTGTCTGACACAGCTCAGAGCACTGTTACAGCAGCTTCTTCCAAGCTCTTTCAGGCAGGAATCATAGGTTCTGCTGGTGGTGATGCTTTCAGAAGGCACAGCCTGCTGTGCTACACATAACCTGCTGCCCACCACACTTCACCACACTTCACCACTGTGCTGGCACAGCAGGCTGTGTCCTCTGCCAGTGGTGACTTGGCTCCCTCTTTTTGAGGCTTGCCAGGGCTCAGGTCATGAGGTGGTGAATGGCAAGCTGGGCTACAAAAGAGTAATGTGAAGGTGTGCCCAATACTCTGTGTAAATGTTCATATCTGGGCATTTGCACACCATTCTAGAGAAATAATAAATATACCTTGTTGGAGTATTTATTGATTTGGTGTAACACTTTCAGGCATTTCTAATGACAGTGTCTCTATCAGCTTGTAGTGGTCCTGGCCACACACCAGTTTGTGAAGAACAGTGTAGAGCTGTGGGAAATCTCTTACTTAGAACTTCAGTGTAATTCTTGTAGACAATTTTACCACAGAAAATTAGTTTTTTGAGCACAAGAAGAAGACAGGTTTGGGTTTTGAGCAGGCTAGGATATAAATTGTGGATTTAATCCTTTTGACATGAAATTAAAAAACAAAAAAAAAAAACCAAAAAAACCAATTTCCTTGTTCTGCAAAATAACTTGTAACTGTTCTTTGTTATTGTTTTCATTCAACAACAACAACTACCCACTCAAAACCAGAATGAGATAAGTAATTGAATGCAGATTGAACCAATTGCCTCCTTGGAAGATGAAGGGTGAGCTGGCATTGCAATGTTCACCTGAAGATACTGCTTCATTTCCTTGTATAGTTCTGTAAAATACAGCATTGATTCCTGGGGGCTAGAGAAGACCTGTTGAGAGGGTGATGGCAAAGACGAGAGTGTCTGAGAAAGCTCTTAGCTATCCCTCCATCAATAGTGATGTTATCAGGAAAACCTGTGCTCACCCAGGCAGGCTTGGGTCAGGGTGATGTCTGTGGATCACAGCAGGAATACTGTGTCCTGGAGA